CGTGCTAGCTGTCCCAGGATAGATTTTAACGGTCACTAGAGCACTAGTTTGCACCCTGCTAGCTGCACTTTTCAGATGAGCAGCAGTTTAACGGGTAAAGCCCAGGAGGGTAGGAAATTTCAGCAGGAGAGAGATTAAACTTAGAGGAACGTCATCTTATTTAAGGAACCACTAAACCAAAATGCCTTATGTAGTCACCTAAGCTGGAATTCCAAGGATGGAACAGGCTGCCTCTCTGTGCAGCCAGCTGCAGGCTTAGGTCTGGCGGGGGGCTGAGGGCTAAATTAAGGGCCCTGAGAATCACCTTCATTCCCAGCTGATGTCTGCAGCGTGCACCAGTGATACAGTTATTGATGCTGCTGCTGTTCATGTAGTTAGTCTCGAAATCTGTACTTTCCAAAGTGTTTCACAGAAGTCTCATTTGACTTCAGTACCTTTGTCTCCCAATCTTTGCCCTAATGGTATAAACTCCCTTTCCAGTCTTAGTTCTGAGAACCCCTTCTAATCTCCCTTTCGGGACAATCTAAACGAAGCTGAGGAGTTGGAGAATGTCTTCACTATGTTGAGTCACTCATTTTCCATCTTCTACTAAACTCTCTGCTCTGAGGCTCTTGGCAGGGGCTGTGGACATCACCATTAGGCTCAGATGGAAACATGGCTACACTCATGCTAAGAGACAAAAATCAGAGCCCATGGCAATCTGGGGTTTGCTGTGTTGCTGTTTGCAGATCTTGGGGACTGAGTCTTGGGAGACCATCACTTACCATCTCCACCCCTGCTTCCATTCATTCACCCCATGCTTCACCGAAGTTGGTGACTATGATGGCTAGCATTTTATTCCAAAGTCAGGATTTCTTAATAGTTGAGGTAGCTTAACTAATTCAAGGATATAAGTGTAGGATTCTCTCATTCTCTTTTTTCCTAAAAGGAATATGTAAGTAGAAGAAGATAAATTTGTAACTATCAGCTAGGTAATTTACCAATAAAAGAAAGCTTCTTAAGATAAATTATCTGTCCTCGAGTTATATCTGAAATTAAAGTGTCAGGCAATACCAAAATTTGTCTTGACTTCCATATCTTTGATGGCTACTTCATCTAACAGAAGTGAGGGAGCTGGCTGGGAGAGAATATTAATTGCTTACTTTTTGAAAAGAAGAGTTGACTAAGAAAAAGAAAACATGACTCTGTTAGCCTGGACTCCTAGGCTGTGAAAAAATCCTCACAAATAGAAGCAATTTGGTCACACACACACACACACACAAACACAGGCCAGCCCCTCCACCCCCACCCCCT